CTATGAGTCCAAGCTGCATAGCAAGACCCTGTACCAATAAATAAATACAATTAAAAAAACAAACAAACAAAAATAATAATTCAAGACAAATCTGGCAGGAAGCAGGAGACACAAAATATTAAACAGAATAAAATTTGGATTCAGGAACTAAATGCATTAAAACCATAAAAGAATGAATAAAAAAGGTGACAATTGGGGCCGGGGAGATGGCTCAGTGGAATAAGCACTTCCCTGGCAAGCGCAAGGCCCTGAGTTCAATCCCCAGTTCCGCAAAAAAAAAAAAAAAAGGTGACAATTATTACAGATAAGCTATAAAGCAGGGAGAAAAAGAGTTTGATACTATTTTTCAATTTTATCTTCCCCTCTTATACTCTTTATAATTTCTAAGAAAGCTCTAGCTAGACAAAAATATAATAGAGTCCATGGCATTTTGTTTTTTTTTTTTTTGAGACAGGGTCTCTCAAAATAGCCCAAACTAGCTTCAATTTGCAATCCTACCTCCACTATCCAAGTGCTGGAATTACAGGTGTGTGTCACCACACCTGTCTCTGATCCAGTTATAAAAAGATTTTATTCTACTTCCCAAATTACAGATTTATCAGTTTGTTAGATAAGCTATCCAAACACTCTACCAATTTACTTAACCCTAGGTTTCTGAAGCCAATACTCAACAGTAGTCTTAGCTAGAATTTATAGCTGAACATTTTTTACCATTTTAAAGAGAGTGCTTCAAGAAACATAGATCTGTACTCCCCTCTATGGAAAGCAATGACTTATTAAACTAAATTGAATATTCTTAATATTGACTCCAGAAAAAAGTCATTATTAATAAATTACATTCTATTCTAAATCTAAATTACTAAACTATTTTTATGGTCTAACAAAAAGACATTCTGTGCCTTTACAAAGAATTATGCTTGGTGGAGTAGTGCATTCCTATAGATCCCAGGACTTGGAAGACTGACACAAGAGGATCGCACCAAGTTCAAAGCAAAACCTGGGGTACATATTGAGTTTAACACCAGCTGGAACTATATAGTAAGACTCTGTCTCAAAATACAAACAGACATACCACAGCAAAATATGTGCACCCATGTTTATAGCAGCTCAATTTATAATAGCTAAACCTTGGATACAACCCAAATGTCCCTAAGGAATAGATTAAAAGAAGATGAGGGTATGAGTACTACTTAGCCATAAAGAAAGAGGAATTTGAGATTCTTATAGGCAAATGGATGCAACCCAAGACCATACTCAAAAGTGAAGTAAACCAGATCTACATGTCTAAACATTGTATTGTCTCATTAGAGTGAGAAACTGAATGAGTAAATAAGACCGAAAAGGTACAAAAGATATGGTGAATTGGGAAGAAATTGTTCAAAAGAAAAGACAAACTGTGATGGGGGAAAGGAAAAAGAACACAAAAAGAAAAAATATATATATATAGGGGCTGGGGAGATGGCTCAGTAGAATAAGTGCTTCCCTGGCAAGCACAAGGGTCTGAATTCAATCCCCAGTTCTGCCAAAAAAAAGAAAGAAAAGAA